ATATTAATATATAATATAAGGTATTAAGGTCGTAGGTTTGGTTTGTGCAAAAGCAAGATGTTTGGCTTGGAAAAAAAACACATCATTTGCCCAATCTTCTTCAAGCAAACTGCTCAGCAAAGCGAGCATTTTGAGAATCGTCTCCCAGAGTCACGGTGAGTCCATTCTTCTCCGACAAAAAGGCCGCTCAGGTGAAAACTGTTTCTTGTTGTGGTCCAGGCACATCTGGGCCTAGATGTTTTATTCTCAGGTCCAGAAAATTCCTCAGGCCTGTGGTCTTTTCTTCTTTGTGGTCATGTTTCCTCGTCTTTCCGTGCAATACACAATAGTGTCCCAAAACGAACCCCACCCCGCCGGTGTTGTGCTGCGATGCTGCAGCCCGCAAAAATACCGCCCTACAGCCTCGCTTTCGCCGCTTCTGCGCACGAGACAGACCCTGCTGCCTGTTGCACGCGTGCGTTAGGCCGTCTTAGACCAGCGCCTACGGGCTCTTCGCAACGGTGCCAGCCTGCTGAGCGAGGCGGAAAGGGAACGACTCGTGAGATTCGGTCCGCCGGCCGGGGGCCGTTGGTCGGCCGAATTTGGGACCTCCGAAGCCTCAAGATGACGAACTGGCGCTTCAACTTGGAACCTGGTGGAGAATGGGGAATCCTTCGGAAATCCAAGATGTTGGAATCCCCTTTCACCGCCACTGGCGAATCCTTTGTTAACTGGCATCCTGTTGGCCGGACAGAGTTTCGGCTGGTATATGTTGTTTCGTGGTGGAACACCCCCAGCACATTGGCTGCTTTCTCCTGCTCGCCCAGCTGCACAGGAGCAGCAGTCCAAGCTGGATGACGAGCGCTTGCGCGAGGAGGATGATCGACTAAGGCCGGTCGTTGGTGAGTGGGTCCCTGGTTCGGAATCTCACCATTGGATTCGGGTTGTCGGGTCGAGTCCCAAAGATTCCGGGATGAAGTCCTTCAAGAGAACATCAGAAAAACAAGCACGAGAATCCAGTGGGCCAAGTTGTTCTATTTTGCAAAAGGACTTAATCAACACATGGGTGAAAGAGAATCACATACATATATAATATATAATACTACAGTACTACAAATTCCATGTAATACCTCCAGAATTGAATTGCTGTGGATCATCTGTGGATCATGCGATTTGCATTTTCCTGGTAGATGATTCCGTACAAAGGTATTCACGGAGTGTTCTGCTCATGTGAAGCAGGCATAAGCAGGCAAGCTCGCACAATTCCTGTTGATTTTTAGCTCAAACTGAGTCACTGAGAGCAAGCCAGCCACTCACTCACCAGCTTTTCTGTTTGTATCCATTCCACCCTATTCCACCGCGAACGGATTCGGGTTCCTGGGGATGGGCCAGCTTAGCCTTCCATCCCTCATCCTCAAAAAAGATGTATGAGAAAATATGAAGAGGATGTGTACAAAGGATGATGATATAGGTGAAGCTCTTTTGTAATGTTTGGTACTTAGTTTTACTTTAAAGTTCTTGCATGTGGTTGATGTCCATCTTGCGCCGGCCTTTCTTTGGTCTTTGCCCATGCAGGCATGAGAATCAGCGCTTGGAGAGGCTCCTTGCCCAGTTGCCAGGGATGCCCAGTTCAAGATGATCGAACTGCGTGCCGCCATGAACTGTGGCGGATTCGGGTCAGATGCCCACGGTGTCGGAGCACACGTTGTCCAAGAGTTGCCGTCGGCAACGTCAGATTGCGATGGGTAACTCATTAGCACCAGATGTCACCAGTTGCACAATGTGGACGTCTTGATTAAAATATTAATACACCCGACATGGATGGTGAAACCTCCAATTGGAACTGTAACAAGAATATATTATGTATCCAGTTTTTGTTTGGTGGGTGCAAGGTGCTAGTGTGTTCCTCCGTTGTTCCAGTTGGAGTCGCGACGTATGAGTCACCTGTGCATTGCACGCGTCAGATCATGCAGGTGAGGCAACCAACAAATGTGTCGTGGTCCCTGGTGGTTGTTTTGCACCTATCGTCCTGGAGAAGATAGAGTATGATGGAAGCTGGGGGCAATCAAGCATTGATGGAACCTTTTCTAGTTGTATTCTGCAGGCTACGCAGGGTAGGATGCACTAACCCTTTATGCACTTTGGTAGATAAGATAGACCTCTATGTCCCCTACTTCACCCTCTACTCCGAAGATAGATCCAACATCTTTAGGTCTTCAATCCTTTTTCTTTGGAACCGATGACCCAGCTCACCCAGTTGCTACTCCTGCTGACCTCTGACCGACCTCACTGACGCCAGGAGTGTTGTGAGCAATCACAGTACCGAGAGACGTTCAGAGGAGATGGCTGCTGTGCTCACGTCACTTCTGGAGCAGGCGCAGACAGCGTCACACCCACGGCTCAACGGATCAAACGACGAAGGTTTTCACAACGGTGGCCGGGCGGCCCGCTCCGGTATGGCCTCCTGGCAAGTGATATGCAAAATGCAAGTGTTCTTGCTGTTGTTGTTGTTGTTGTTGTTGTTGTTGTTGTTGTTGTTGTTTTTTCTGAATCGTCATTCTCAGCCCACAACACCTTGACCTTGGAATTTACCTTGAACAGATCGATTAACCGATTTGTCTACCCAACAAGGTTCCCACCCAGAGTGATGGAAGGCCAAGCGAGTTTGATGGATGTGTTGCTTGATGAGTTGATTTCCCAGCGTTTCCTGACTGAATGTATGTGACGGTTTGGCGTTCGTTTCAATAGTGCACAAGCAGAAACAACGCGCTTCCGCTCCCAGCAGGCTGGAAACCAGTGCTTTTGCTGTATTTTCTTTTGGGCTCCGTTTTGGGACAGATGAGCTACAAAAGGAACGCATACAAGTGATGGCTTGATCAAAAAACTGTGTGAGTAACGGGCGCTTTTCACAGGCGCCACCACCTCCAGCCAGTGCCACCAATAGTTCTTGGATGGGCGCTCCTTGGCAGACAATGGGCAGAACATGGCAGGCAGGTGACGGGTGCCCCCGTGTTTGTTCAATCACTTGAGTGTGTGAGAAGCAGGATGATTAAGACTAGATGAAGGATGAGGCTCTAAGCCTGCCCCTACTCCCACCCTGCCAAAGTGGAAAACCCCTTGCATTCAAGCAACATCACATTTGAAACTTTGCTTCAGCACAGAATGACTCATGAGATCACCTCTTCCCAAAGTCATAGTCTAGTTGAACGAGCACCTTCCTCAAGAGCTTCTATACCGGTCATACACTAAACATACATGGCATGCATGGGGGTGTACTAGTGGAGGGAGACCCCGCAAGCTTCTCCAACCACTAGCCGTTTCTTACATAACTTTTTCCTCTTCCCAACCAGGGAGGGTTGAGTCTTTAGGACAAGTGCTCCGTCTGCCCTGCTCGCCGTTTCTCCTCGCCTGATCCGTGGTCAGAGTCGGCCTCAGGATGGGTCAACCGAGATGGATCCTAAGAAGCGGATCTTGACCGTGAGCCTGATCATTTGCCACTGGGGCAGAGTTTTGACATCCCACGGTGTCCAAAAACCACATCCGGCCAAAATGACCTATTTTTCGAGACACAAGATGACAAGCATTGACAAGTGCAACCCTGTTTCCAGATGTTTCCAGGCAATCTCTTGGATCATGAAACAATCAATGCATGTGTCTGTGTGTGTGTCAGAAATTTCACAGCCTTTTCCCAAACCTTGTTTCAACATGTTTCTACATTTGTTCACAAAGTCCGTGACTCAGCTGAAGCCCCTGTTAATTCAATTTATTCCTGTCATTCCCATGCACCCTTGCAAAACACAAGTTTTTCCTTCGCCCACCAAAGCAAGCCTCAAAAAAAACACACACACTTATTTGATCTTAGAATCCACGGGGAAACAGCAAACACAAACTAAGACGAACACTCGAAAACGCACACTAAAATAGACACGAAAATACCGAGGTGGCTCGGTGGCCTTCCTGGTCTACGTGGTTTATCATGCCTACGTCTTCTTCAAGAACGTCCGTGAAGATCCCAATGGCGATCACAGTGTCGACACCTGGATGGGAGCGTGTCATTTTGTTCACAACCAACCGGTGCTGGTCCATGCGGTGTTTTTGATGGTGTTTTGATGTGTTCACCGTGATGAGTGGTGGGTGTGTGTGACCGTTACAGTTCGGTGGTGTGGTGTTTTGTTGTTTATTTCGGTGGCCATTTCGGGTGGGTGGGCGAATTCGGCACCGGGATGAACGTGTTCCGCAACGAACTGATCAGTTAAGAACACAACAACTACAATCAACTACATATGTTTCTGCTTGGCTGCAATACTGTTCATAACAGTTGGATACTGTATGTTTTGCGTCGCACAAAGCAGAAAAGCTGAAAGCCTCCCAGTGCATCAAGGCAGGTATGTAAGAGATTGCCCAGTTCCCATCAAACAGGCCTTTCAGGAGCAGAGCTGAAGGCAATAACCCTGGAGTAACAGGGGCAATCTGTACTTTGGAGTTAGAGTATCTTACAATCGTACGTGGTGTTGCTTCAGATGGGGGCTGCTTCAAGTTATGCAGCTCAACAAAAACCTTGGACATCCTTGGTGTTTCACACCTGAAGATAGAGCAAGGAAAATTTCTGCACACACAAAGCAACACTTTTTGATGGTGTGAAGACCTGCCCCACGGGTTTTGGCTGCCAGACATGACCAGTGAGAAGACGTTGAGTGACCCGAGGATTGGGACGATATCAAAGAGCTGCTTGGCCGCAGCGTGTCCAGTAAAGCCTTTCATTCATCTCACTCCCATCAAAACTCTAAAGTGCACCACTTCTCCCGACCTTGAAGCACACGCACCACCTCATGGTGCCTCTGCATAATCCGACGCTCAACAAAAATCTCATCGAAGGTTCTTTGCAGAGCTGATTTGCTGTGGTCTCAGCTATTCCTCTGCGGTGAACATGTCCTTCGCGCCTGGGTGGTGATCTCTCCGGCGGGTTCCGCGAATCGGCGCGGGGGTGAAGAGACGCAGCGGCGTGCAAAGAGACATGTGCTCAAGCCCTGTACTTTTGTGTATGTTTGGAATCTAAAAGACATCACAAGACCCAAGGCACTTAGAGTCGAGAGGAGCAAGTCAGGCATAGAAGATCATGGAAGTTCCCAGTGGAATGAACATGAATGAACTGGTCGAGGTCTTTGTGATTGCTGCGGGGGGCTTCGCATTCCTCTGGTGGCAGGGCATTATCCAACCCTTCCTGAAGGAGATTGCGTGCTATGTAGCTTGGATTAAGTGGAGGGCCATATTATATCGGGATAAGGGTTCGGAACTGTAGACAGAGAAAGGAGTGTGTCCCTGTCTCGGGTTCGGGGTAGATTTCTGGGTAAAGGAGCTCGCATGCCACATGGCCTGATGTGACTGTGGACGTGGAACAGTGAGTTTCTTCGGTGAAGGTATTGCTATGGATGGATGCCGCAAGCAAGCAGCGGCTTACCCCCACCTTAGCCCTCTTCAGTGGCATGGGATTACTGTAAAGTTTCTCTGAAGACTTTCTTGGGCTGGATGGAAGCTTGTGGGCCGGCCTCAACTGCGAAGTGGAACTCCAGTATTGGAAACGGGCGCCGATTTGAGTCCATACATATCCTCGCATATCCTTCAAGATGTGAAAAGTTGATATATATATATATATGCCACCACATGCCACCACTAACTTGTTTTACTGATGCTTAGTAGAGGATAAGATTAAGATAGACTAAGGTGACTAAGGAACTGACGACCCCTCAATACAATAAGGCTTCAATCAATGTATATAACTATAATATAAATACCTCAAGGATCCTCACCGCACCATCCACCATCCCTATTCCGCTGCTGAGCGAATCCTCACCGCACCGATTGTCCTTCCACCGGTCGATGCTGCGGGAAAAAGACGGCCCAAACAAACGCTGCCCAAAGGTGGCAAATATTTACATGTGGTGTTTCAGAAAAGAACCAAATGGAAATCCAATGGAATGACATGCATTGAATCACATCCAAAGTGATGGCAAGCCCATTTAGACGATGTTCCTGCAGTCAATTCCCTTGAGATGAACCAAACTTCGCAAGCGAAGTGCCCTCACTTCGAGATGTCGAGGTTTATCTCGGACTGGTTCTCTTTCTCTTGGTGGGCGTCATCCTTGCTGAAGTCTGGTCCCAATTCTACGCCCCTTGGATGCACGACATGGCTTGCGGCGGCTTGCTGTGCATGGCCCAGGGGCGTTTCGAAGGGGGTGGTGTTGTCAGACAGACCACCTCTATCGATGACAGCAAGAGTGAAACTGTTGATGGATGCCTTTCCTGGACTACCTGGAAATCAGTCGAATAATAACCCTCCCGGCCTAGCCAATTCAGATTGTAAATTTTATTCATATCATGGGTTGATAATATATAATCAACAGGTCTATATTATATATTACATGAAGACATTTGATTTTGAGGCGTGGAAGGGGGTTACTGTACTCGTTCAAGCGCTTGGAGACATACAATTGAAAAAGCTCCACTCCTCGCCGGAGGCGAGATGACCACCAGTGGTTCTGAATCTGTTTGGTTGGTCAAGCGAAAGCAACTCACTAAAGTCGATATCACGGAATCCAAAGCCCAAAGCAAACCTGAACATCTATGGGGCTTAGATGTTTGATGTTTGGATTGCGCACGGGCAATTCTCGTTTGTTTAACGTCTCCTTCCGGTCGGGCGGGTCATGGTGGGAGTGGTCAGGGCCCGAACCTGCAAACTGCAAACCTTCGATCTGCTTCAATGAAGCATACAAAACCTTCCGAGAAGCTCGTGTTGCATTAGGTACCTTACAGCTGTGTGCACAGATATTGGGCTTCGGGTTCTACTTCCGTTTCTTGCTCCATGTTCACCTGAACATTTTATCAAACCAAAAGACATGTTTTCCTTGACAAAGACTTGCGACGCGTCAGCGACTTTCTTTCACTGCCACGACAGACGCCAGACGAGGCGATCTTCAGTGTGCAGATGGATCAACTGGACAAGATCATGAGCTTCCTTCGTATTGACAACGCCAAGGCTAGAGCGGCCCGGAATATGGACCTGTCAACCCTCATGTGCGGTTTCGGCCGCAAATCTGCGCCATGCGAATCTGGGATCCCTTTGCTGGCTCGTGTCCCCCAGGGTTGCAGAGTTTTAGGATGGGAACATGTCTTGGCTATAGGTGTATGTGCTTTTCAACTCGCGGCTTTTGCTGCTCCTTATAGTTGATGGCAGATGTTTGTTGACCCACAGTCAGTTGACCCTGATAAAGCCCTTTTGCCAGTAATGAATCTCCAAGCTTTTCCAGTCCCGAAGCCGAAATCGTATGAAATCGTCAATTGATTTGCAGGATTTCGCCAAAGACATGTTGAGCGAAGCCAAATCGCACCTTGGAGTGACCAGATCATACACTTGGCTTGCCACGTACTCTAGGGCTTGAAGAATTGTACCACCTTCGGAAGATTCAGTTGTATAGATGTGTTATGATGTGTTCAAGACTTTAACGAAGGAAACCGCTGAAAAAGGGTCGGAACAAAGTGCGAGAAGGCTCCCCACTTGATGGGTGTCCAACCAACCATGTTTGAACCATCTGAGTAGTCCATGGTAGTCCACCAAAGATCCATTCATGTCCAGACCTTTAATGTGTATCCATGAAGAAGGAAAGTCTCAATTTGAACTGAAGGGGATCTTGAGTTTTTAGAGTCAAGTCTAATATGGGACACCAACACTGGCAACACAAACAATTGATGCTGCTGATCGCCGGTGATTTGGAAAACCACAGTGCGGGTGCCTTGTTTGGAACACAAATACACACCAAATAGAACTACATAGAACTACTTTGCCTTTACTAGCATCGGCTATCTTATCCCTATAGGGATCCAGTCGTACCTTCTCAGGTACGCTGATTGGAGACACTGTTATGTAGCTTTGGAGGGTCTAGTCGTACCTACGACTAGATCCCTAGGGTAGCCGAGGATCGTCGGTTCGTCGTTGATCTCAGGGAGTCGTCGGTTCATCGTTGATCTCGGGTGTAGAGGCCATGAGTCCGGGAGACCCCCTGCTTCCAGGTTTGGGTTCATTGCCCTGCTTCCACACAGGGGTGTCTTTTGTGAGGTCTCCCATTTTCATACTGTATTGGACCTCAGACTTGTTCGCCTGCCATGTCAACCGGACGGTCAGGATGGTCACCAAGTGAGCGGTTAGCTCGGGGCCATCAGCGGAAAACAGATCGCGAGGAGTTGAAAAGTGCTGCCAGCTTTGTCAGTGTCAGTGTTGCCTCGATTGTTTTTTTTATTTTTCCAAGGCAGCAAGAGCCCCACATTTCTCTGTGATCAAACTTCACAAACTTCCAGTGGTTTTACATTACCATAGTCTGGCTGCCCGCCAATTTTGTCAATTTAGGTTGATTGTGCGGTATTACGATGGGTAGACTAAGTATCCAGAGAAGCGGGCCAGTGGTGTGGATGCATGTTCGGGATGCCCGAACCGTTTGAACTCCAAGGGTGGCAGTGTTGATTTCTACGTTCCGAACTCCACCAATGGGCCAGTGTGGGTGTTCAGTGGTCAGACTGGTCAGACCGGATGCTTTTGCAGCCCCATAGACCGAATATCACCTATATAGACGGAATGGTCATGACTTGGACCTCTCCAAGCATCCTTCCATAGGGAGAACCGTCGAGATTCACATGTGTCACTGGATCTCGATAACAAACCCAATACTTACAGTTATTTTCCCTATCAGTTTCTCATCAAAAAGGGGACTCAACCCAACAGCAGCTGTACGCTCCAAACAGCTATGCACCGAGACTTTCTTGAGCTCTCTGCCAAGTGCCATGTGGCACAAAGAAAAACCCTACGCTCCAAACACGAGGGATTGCTTTTCACCACGCCCAAGCCGCCCCTTGGAAACCACGCGCAACACCTGAACAGCACACCGAGTCCACACATGTGTCCACATGCTCGGTGGGCCGAGGCTGGAGGAGTTGGCCCGTGATTTGGAGCATCGTCACAGGCGCTCCGAGCGCCGAGTTCCGCGCCGAAGACGCAGTTGGTCCAGCGAGAAGGGGAGGGGAGCAGGTCTCAGACTTGGTCTCAGACTGTTTAGATTCAGTGAGTCCCGTTCCATGATCGCCATGCACTTGTGTTTTTTTGTGTAGACTGGGGTTTAATGGGAGGTTCTGTTTGTTTGGAAAAGATAGATACACCCCAAAGTTCTCAACATGAAGGTGCTTGTCCCGCTGGAGACAAGTTCACTTCTAATGGTTGATGATGTGTGGTTTGATGTTGTGCGACTCTCAAAAGAAGAGGATAGCGGATGATAGTTGACCTGATTCTGGCATTGGGGCCTTTGACGTCACGTTCTCCTCGCACTGAACACTCGGGGGGAAAGCACCGCCCAACACTTCCAGGACACAAGGCACCCTGGCCATCGCACATCAGCAGCATGTTCACGGACTTCGCGGAAGCTCGGTGGCGATCGTGCCGTGGAGCAGACCTTGGTCCGGTGGCCGGCCATCAAGAAGCCTATCACAGGGGCAAGTCCTGATATTTTTTTTGTCTGTCAAAGGGGCAAGCAGCGGGATGGTGTATGTGTCTAATCAACAACTTTGAGACCGGACCAGCCCCTTTTCACAGAATTCCGCGTCACGATTGGAATCTATGGCAGACAAACGGCCGCAGCCTCAACGCACTTCACTCTTGACTCTATACTTGTATGTAGATCGATTGTACACCCTGGAAGACTAACATGGACCTTGAAAACCACGTCGGCTGGTAGAGAAAAACAATCTTCCAAATGGCCAGGACATCAGGGTCTATGTGAGTTTTCGGTAGTGTAGATCTCCTAGTTCACTCGCAGTTTTTTTTAAATAGTTTTTTTTTTTTCTCGAAACTCCACGCAGTCAGTCCAGTCAGTCGCTGCATTCACTCTGGCTGCGCTTCCGAGGAAATCTTTCTTCCTCCAAGCTTCAAGGTACGCAGGGGCCAAAGGGTCGAACGGGTGTCATCCGTGGCCGTGGCGATGCTGCCACGACTCCACCCGCCAACCCGACAGCAGGGAAGGTAGGTGTTTCTTTCTTTTTGTTGTTCAGCTATTCGTTTTGTTAAGCCACGCATGTGCTTTAAAACTATTCGATTACTTTAGCTATATTTTAAGGAGAATTTGCTATTCGAAGTCCCATGTCTTACACTACAGAAGCCTTGTGCTCCATTCCTACGTTCGCCGTTGGAGTTTTGGATGCGAAGCTGAAATGCTCGGACCTTGGCTCAATCCGAATGGATTGACCCTTGATTGTTAGCCCCACCCTGCAATTAGGTTGTAAGTTGTTGTACAAGCTCTTCATATGGGGGGCTTTATCAATCCTACGTCTACATGAATGGTTCTGGTCAAAGTATGCCCTCGACATGTCGATGCTGACACCTCGTCGATTCCATCCCGCCTGGACTTGAAGAATTTCAGGAACCTGATCGATCAGAGGTTTTGCGTATGCACCGTTGGGCAACTTGCTCCCACCAAAGTAAAACACATGAAAACAGGTGACCCGTGTGTTTTCTGCAGCACTGTGCGTTACTTCCTCTCCCCATCTGTTCCACATCTCTCACCTTTTGGAAGATAACCGTGGTGGATGTGACACCTTAAAGTTGGAGAGCTTTGGCCGGCCATTTTCATACTTATTTATGATTCCAAGAGCCCATCCTGCACCGCTCGCAGGACAGGAATCAAGGGCTGACGTGGAGGTTCAAGGCATCCAACGTAGACCAAATGGGGGAGAGCACTGTCAGTACCTATTTTACATGAGACGAATGGACAAAATGCTAGCTCGCGGTCTCAGACCACGGAGAGCTTCAAAGTCAAAGTGAAAAACGGACAAATGTGAAGACCTTTCAACCATGCCAGGGCTATTACAGGCGGCAAGAACCTTTGAGGATTTACACACAGCTCAGTCACAAAGTTGACCAAGACGCCACAACCTTGCTCATTCAGAGGGTGCTTTTCAATTCGAGAAACAGTTTCTTCCTGTTCTTTTGAAGCAGTACTATGAAAAGAACAACTGTTATAAGAATTTCTTTTGGATTCAACTGCATCCTGCACAACTTCCACTATGAGCGCACCACGCTCCACTGGTCAGAGCGCTCCACTTGCCATCATCACCCCGTTTCCGATTTGTCCGTCACACCGCAGAACCGCACGGGTGCTGGGCACGGGTCGGGGTGCCCCAGAGTGAGAAGCACATGCGTAACGTGGTGCAGGCCACGGTTTGCACTGTTTTGTACCAGCAAGACTGATCTTGACCTTGATCACATGTGAATTCTATGATGATGTCAGAGTATATATTAATTACTCCGAATTGCTAATTCATGCCATTTATAGTACCATAATCTGCTCACTTCTTCCTCTTGGAACGATACACCGAGGCCCCCTTCGCCGCCGCAAGTCTCCCGCGCTCCGGGCGCCGCGCGGAAGCTGGACCTGGAGCAAAGGTGCGGATCGCCGGTGTTTCCACAAATGGGTGTTGTGATGTGTTTTATGAGCGTTTTGTGAGTAGTTGTTGATAGTAGTTGTTTTCTGAACGTTTTGTCAGTAGTTGTTAGTTGTGTATAAGTAGTTGTTTCTAAGGATTTTGTCAGTAGTTGATACTGTAACAAGATTTGCACAACCGAACAACCGGCCTGCTGTTTTTCGGGGAATTGGTTGTCAACAGTTTCTCACGGAATACGCAACATAGCAGCGGAGCCTGGGAGGTTGTGACAGGAAGTCTTTGGGCTGGTTGTAGAATTGCACAACCTGCACGAACTCTTCTAAGCGTTGTAAGTCAAGGTACTCAACATTACTCAACCAACATTTGTCAAATTTTGTTTGTGTAGCTTGCAGAAGCATATCGAACCACATCTTACCTGACAGACCTCACCCCAACAAAAGCCATGCAGCACCTGAAATCAGCCGTTACCTATCCAAGCTGCTCGCCGCACAAGGCCTCCACCTCCGAACTTGCCGGGTGCTTGGTGGTGTGGTCACAGGGGAGAGCGCTTTGGAAACTGATTGACCGGGGCGTTCATGTCGATGGATGTTCTTTTGTGTGGAAATGCGATGATGACACCGGGAAAGCAGTGGCAAGTGGGCCGGTGGGCCAACAGGATAGCCATGGCCATGGATAGCCCAATAGAATAGGAGCAAGCGACAGGGTGAGCTTCTCACCTTGGATGTAGGTGGATGTAGGTGTATTGAATTCAGACAAAGATCACCGTCGGATCACAATGCCATGGGAATACGAAGGCATTCCTTATTCATATGTTGGTATTGCATCAAGTCAGCCAGAGATGGTTGCATGTGGATATACTTGCTGGAAGAGGGATTCAAGGATAATGCCAGCTTTACAACAACTATATATACTGTAATTACAACAAGCCAAGACTCGCCTGTTTTGTGCTTCTATTTCTCAAGATGTACTACTGTCGGCCACGCTTTGTTAGATGGATATGGATGGTGTCCCATGACACGCTTCCTCCAGTAGCTATCCATTTAAGCCTAAGATGTTGTCAATTGCGCCTGTGCAGTAGTGGGAGGTCTCAAGTTGAAGGGACTTGACTTGAATGTTCCAAGTAGAAAGGGAACCTCCTGCAACAGCACTTGCTAGTTCAAGGGACGACCTGTGACGTCCGGACACATGAAAGACCAGCTTTGTTTGGAACGTCCCAAGGTCGTCTCGTCGTCGTCTCGTCGTCTCGTCGACCGGTCCTTCGGCATCCACCGGTCGACCGGTCGACCGGTCCCGGCCTCCGGCAGCGAGGCGAGAAGCTGCCTATGCGGTCTTGCAATACCGTAAGGAGCAAGGTGGACGGAGGGGGAGAGATGGGACGAGAGACGGGGAACGAAAGGGACGCGACTCTCCGCTTCGATTATACGCGTCGGTGTTTGGGGAGAGCGGTTTGGGGTTAGCGTTTCGGCGTCGAGTTTAGAGGCCTCTGAATTGAGAGGCACCATGGGAGAGATACCAGAGTTGACATCGGCAAAAGGCACGGAAACAACTCAGATGAGACTGGGTGGATTGTGCTGGCTAATTTGCCTTTTCTTGTTGGACGAATTGGGGGGATCGCAAGCACTTTGTTTGATGTGCAGACAATTTTATGGAGGTGTTGCTGGCATTCAAAGTCTAACAGGTGCAGATACTGGGAGCAGCCCAACTAGAACGTAGAGCGACAGATGATCATGAATCAGGTATAGTATAAGTCAGGGTTGATTT